AATAACTAATTTAATAACTAATTATGCCATGTGTCATTCTATTGTGAATGGGTAGTTATTTTCATATATATTTATATTTTCGTTTTTTTATTATAGTTAATTATAAGATATCTTTTTATTTTAATTATTTGAAAACTCCAACTTGAAACTATTCCCCGATTTGAATGGCTAGTTTTTCTTCTGTTTTTTTCCGTTTTTTAAAGCTTTTTTTTTTTGCTTTTTGATTTTAAAATAATTTAAAAATTCCAACTTGAAACTGCTCCCACCCAATTTGAATGGGTAGTTATTTTTTTANAATAACCAATAACTAATTTAATAACTAATTATGCCATGTGTCATTCTATTGTTCTGCCATTTGGTTTCATGAAGTGTTTTTGTCTTCTGCTTTTAATAATATATAGATAAATGAGAAAAGTAGATATTTTTTATTTTTTAAATAAAAAATAAAAAATATAGGCGCCATAACCAATGTTTGGTAGCAATTGCAGTTTTCTATTAAATCTCGATTAATTGGATTTCACAAACAAAGGTTTTAGGTATTCTAGTTAGTAGTTACCATAATACCAAATCAAATGGAAAACGATTTATTATCCATTTGAAGTGATAATCTTTTTTCTTCTAAAAAATGAACACTAGTCAATATTATGGGTAGACAGATATAGATATAGATTACGTCTAGAGCATCATTAATTACTCGTTAGTATCCTCAAAAAAAATATTTTGAAAGTTTTTTCCCCGAAGGGAGAGTCCTTTAGTAATGATTTTTAACACTTAAGATTAACCTACACACGCATGATTGTGTTATAAATTTCACACAGATTTATTTCTCACTTTTTGCTTACCAAAAATTTCCAAAAGTAACTTCAAATATTCTGAATTTCTTGTGTTTACATAAAATTTTACAAGAGTCATATTTAGCATTGAAAACATGCAAACTTTCTCTCTTATAATGAATTATCGAAAGTACTCTCTCAAAAATTATTAATTATTAAATATTTTAAACTATAACCATGGGACATCGATTGATGTTTATATATTTTCTTACTAATAATATGTGTTACTAAATATTGATATATTGGTAATACTACATAATAAAGTAATTAAAATAATTTAGGAGACGTTCAACATTTGTAATCAGAAAACGCATCAAATCTTTGTAGATAACAATACAAATCATAAAATTTCTTAAGACTTTAATTCTTCTTAAAAACTATGGTATCCTTATCAATAGTGACAAATAGAAAGTTAAACTTCAACCAAAGTATACTGGCAACTTACAGGTCTTGTTGGAGAGATAAATCACAAGAAATTCACCAAGGAACAAAATCTTTGTTCGACGGTAGAGCCACCAAGTCAAGCGTCGTTTGAAATTGGCCAGGCAATAAAATTTGGATTCCATGATAATAAGTGATAATAGAAGAGAAGAAAAAAATTGAATAGTGAAGTTTTCGTGAAGTTTTAGAATTCTACTGAAGGAGAGCATCCCTTCATATGAATAACACCTGTTCTAGAAGCACGCTCCTTCACATGTAATCGTGCATTTTGGGGTATTTGGTAAATGTTGATTTTCGTAAACTATTTATATAAGTAGGATAATCAGTTCCTTTAATTTCAAAATCTACTTTTATATAGGCATATAGAAGAAGCCCATTATAAGAACTTAATCAAATAAAGGAACTTATGGTACGAGAAAAGTGGGGAGTACCAAACAAATTTGTTCAGGAACGGGTGCGACTTTTAATTATGAGTATGATCCGTTGGTTTGGAATATTTGTAGGCATCAACTTTTTGTTTTTAATTTAGGGTAGATTATATATATTGGAGGGCATTTAAGTAATTTAATTTTTCACTTTTGAGGTTCCTACTTTTAATATGGTATATAGATGATATTTTTATTTGGTACTGACTGCTGAGGATCGCTTCCAACTTTAAGTAACAACTATGCACTTATGTTATATAGTGAATATTGAACTTTTAGGCTAGGAGAAAATCCCATACTCGAATTAGAAGGAACACCTAACAGCATAATATTATTCTTCCTGCCAAATAACTATGCTCAACTCCATTTGCATAACCACATTCATAAAACATGTCTACATAATGAACCAATTCGACAAAGACTAAAGGAAACAGGTTAGCTTCTCCCCGTTAATTAAATAAATCAATCAGCTAGCAAGAACAACAAACATTCTCGTTCTAAACTGAACAGAACACAGTAACCCAAGACCTATGGATTTTAGAAACTAGTATACATAGTCCTATATGTATATAGCATCCTCTATTGGAGTAGGCACAGTAACTACCAAGGCCTTCTACCAAGCGGAATTACGTTGGATCCAGACTTCTGGTCCCGGTTTCCAAAGCCACCTCGTCCTCTAGACCGGAAATTGCTCCCTGCAGCAAGAAAAGCAAAATCCAAATAAATCAACTACTTATCCCTATTCTTGTGTTAACAAGTTGGACTAATATACAAAATAGATTTAAAAGTTGAGTATTTAGACACAAACCTCCAGTGCTGTGAGAAGTAGACCCTGCCAATGCAGAAAGTTGAGGTGGAACAATTTGCCCTGCCTGCTGAAGGATCTTAATAAGCTGTCGGGTATACTTGGCATTTGCATGGGTGAAAAATGTAAATGCAGTTCCCGTGGCACCTGCACGTCCAGTTCTGCCAATCCTATGAATATAATCCTCAAGACTTGAAGGGAAATCATAGTTGACAACACACTTTATGTCCTTAACATCTGCATCAAATCAAACAATAACTCCAGTTACACCCAACTGGTGAAAAAAGTACAACATAACTTGCAACCTTATCCCTGCAGTACTGAGATCCAAGTGATCGTATGTAAGATATAACACATTCCTTACATAAATGTGCCCACCTTAACCTGGCAGGGATAAGGAGCAGCTCCACCACAACTTCCAAAATCAAATCCAGTGACACGATAATCTTGCATGAGTCTACCGGGCTGTCAGGGCAACCAGCTCCAAAACTGTGGATGGGCAACGTTAACCTCAACTTTACTTTAGACAAAATGACTTGAGACATACCCTTTGTGGAAAAAGTCGAGGAATTCAACAAAAGCCGCCTCCCTAAGCTTAAAATTCCTAAAATATAACAAATGGATCTTCACTAATTGCACCATGAAGTTTAACACCTTCATTTGACACCTATTTTTCACTATACCAGTTCCCATTTTCCTTCTAATACCTATTTTTCACAAAGGCAGTTGGCAATATTTTTAAAAACCAACATCAATTCAGCTCGAAGAGACAACGTATCCCCTTTATACCCACCACCAAACTTTCTAATGTAGAAAAGAACAATTGGCCATTCATTCAGCTTGAATGCTCCACTGATTGGCAGGGTAGGGTGCAGGGTGCAGGGTGCTGCAATAATACTAGGTCCCTATAGTATCATTACCACCCAACAACTTTCTAAGTGTAGATAGAAACACAGTCAGCCATCCAATTAGCTTGTGTGCTTTAAGGATGGGGTGACGAGTGTAATACTCACAAGTGCCTGTATTATGAATTAAAATTTCAATTTCCACTAACTACAATGTAAAAAATTCAAGTAAGCCCACATATGTAAAAGAAGCTGTACACCTAATTTTACTACGGAAATGAAGCATTGCGACCTTCGCATCATCATCAGTTCTCTTTTTTTAAGAGATCTCACAGGTTTCCTATTCTGAGGATAAGATATAGGGGCAAATCAGAAGAACACAAGCTATAAATTTTTTGTGTGATGCTTTGTCATCAGACATTAAACATTTTTCGATAAGGATGCTATGCCATAAGACATTAAACATCACTTGAAATTGTATGACAAACTAAGTAGGCAGCATAAACAAACTCCACTAATGAGAATAGGACTCCCTCCATACAGCCTGTATAACCTACTTTTAAACCCAGGTTGCCTCAAACTGATTGACCCCTATCTAAAAACTTTAGCATTTACCAACAACCGCAAATCAAGGCAATCTTTTCATTGACCTTGATTGGAAACCTCTTTCAGCACTATACTTTTCCAATATATCCCAACTTGAAAAATGTATTCGGATAGTCCAAATTAATGACCGACCTCTGGTTTCCTAGTGACCAAACTATCCTATGCAGACCAGAAAAGGGAAGTTAAGACGTGCTACTAAACCAAAAATTTTACATTGGGGACAATTCTTATAGCTCTACGAGGGATTCCTCTCCTTTAGAAGTGTGTGAAAACATTCAAATTCCCCTACATTATTACATCATCATAGTGCTCACTCTGTAAGAGCGGATTCTCCTATTTAAAGATCCCTACAATTTTTTTGAGATTACTGAAGAATTGGTCACATAATACGTTACAAAGGGATTACTATTAAGTTTCTGCATTTAATTCAACTAATTGTTCTGATATTGACTTCTACCAAAGTTCAACTAATTGTTCTGCTATTGACAGTTCCGAGAAATCCTATATTCTCCTGCTCACGTGAGCAAAAACATTGTTTTTCTGTTATTGTGGTTAATGCGCCCCTAGATGCATCCCAAACCTATGTACCCAAACCACAGATTACTAACCTAGGAAAGTTGACAGCAGCCGGAGACTCGTTTCCTCTAGTGTGAAAGACCTAAATGGACAGACTAAAAAATCGTAATCCTAAACATTATTGATCCTACCAAGACCACGTGCAGCAACATCAGTAGCAATCATTATGGGACTTCTGCCATTTTTGAATTCAGCCAGGACCCAATCCCTCTCATCCTGGCTTTTATCGCCATGGATGGATAAAGCTGGCCATCCATCCATTCTCAACTGTCTTGTCACTTGATCACATCCTTTCTTTGTTTCTACAAATATTAGGATTCTGCTTCCATCCATCATTTCTTTCAAAAGCCCAATCAACCTGTGAAATCATACAACCATGACCATGAGCAATCAAGTTTGAAGAGGGAAATCATAGAATAACATGTGGGTGGCTATTAAATCACACCTTCTATACTTCTCTAAATCTGTGACAACTTCAACGATTTGCCTTATAGATTGATTTGCTTTCAAGTCTGGAGACCCAATGATGACCTGACAATTTAAGCATGTTTAAACACATTGCAAAACATCTTTAAAAACAGTGATGTTACTTGTGATGCACTTGTATGTTAACACACTATAAAGTCAATGCATTATAATATGGCATCACTGCTTACTTTATCAAAAAGAATATGGTGTCACTACTTACCTTATAGGGATTGCGTAGAAACTGCCTAGCCAGGCTTTCAACCTCTTTGGGCCAAGTCGCACTCCAATACAAGGTTTGTCTATCTGGTCTAATCTGTAGCATCATGAAGAAATATTTTCAACCTCAGACTCTGAGCTTCTCCTAGAGGACTTTGGCATGCAATAATTCAATCACAACCAATAACGAAACAGAATACCACCAAGACAAAATACATTATCACACAAAAACAACAACAACCCAGTGAAATCCCACAAGTGGGGTCTGGGGTTGGTAGTGAGCACGTGGACCTTACCCCTACCCCGAGGAATAGGGGTAATTCGAGGCTATTTCTTTCAGATTCAAATTTAAGAAATAGAGAATACATTTTCAACCCCTTTTGACCAAAAACATAGATAATTAGAGGGTTCGAGAAACAGCAGAACAAAATTAGAGCACAGTCAAACAAATAGGGAGAAACAAACATATCCTTATGAAAGATCCATCTTTCACCGCAAAATCATAGAAAATGCAGAAGTTCAGCATGCCATGTACAGTTAAATCCTGCATTAAGTTAGATGAGAAGACCAGAAGCCATCTGAGACCAGCCCATCAACCAGGCAATGTCCGGGAAGACAACGATGGAATTGTTGCCAAATTTTAAAGCAAACGGCAGTGCTGACTACTTCCATCAAAATGCCTCTAAACTCCATTGCATTGATAACTATACTATTAAAACCTCTTCAATGACTTGGAAAAGAAAAGTTACATGAATGTGTTGAGTATCTCCATTACCCCTATTTATCAACAAAAAAAAAAAAAGTAGAATCTCCCTTACCCCTTCAAAATTTAAAATATTTTAATGCTCCCCGAAATTTAGCTATCAGGAAAATTTCCATATTTAAGGAGCAAAATCAAGCATGAAAGAAACTCAGTCGAGAAACCTCTGTCTCTCACATATTATTCATGGTTAGTAAGATCCACAGACTAAGTCAAACAAAAAGATAATCGTTATGCAAGTTGAGTAATTGTAGCTGCCTGGCTGCAGGATGGCCCAAAATAATATCCTGACATTCCACTACAGTGAACGAACATGATGAAGTATTGACACAGATGAGGGCCCAAAATGATATTGAACGAAATTACAGATTGTTGTGCAAGTAAAATCATAAAGGAAAAAAGAAAGAAAAGAATATGCATGCCTGGGAAATTATTTTCCTGATTTGAGGCTCAAACCCCATATCCAGCATTCGATCAGCCTCGTCCAGTACGAGATAAGTCACTCTTTTCAAGTTTGTATGTTGAGCTTCCAGCATATCTATTAACCGACCAGGGGTTGCAATTACAATTTCAACTCCTGATATGAAGTTTCACGTTTTAAAACCAGTTCAGCAAAAAAGGATTCAAAACAAACAAGTTAGTAACAAACAAAGAAACAGAAAACCTCTTTTAAGATCACGGATTTGAGGTCCTTTTGGGGCACCACCATAAATGCAAGTACTACTAATGTTGGCACGCGATCCAAATTTGACAGCTTCTTTTTGAATCTGAACAGCCAATTCTCTCGTAGGTGCTAATACTAGCACGATTGGGCCATCACCATGTGCTGAATTTGTGAGGAAGAAAAGATCAAGATGGAGCCAGTCAATAAAAACAGCAAGCCAGTCTAAACAATCAAAAACAAACAGGAAACACGATACTAACCCAACCGTTGTGCGCGGACATGGACCAAAGCCGGCAATAGATATGCCAAAGTCTTCCCAGAACCAGTTTCAGCAATCCCTATTAAGTCTCTGCCCTTTAAAGCCATTGGCCATCCTTGTGATTGGATAGGTGTTGGCTCAACAAATCCTAATCTTGAAATAACCTCGAGGCAATAATCTATCACACTAATTCAATCAGAAAAATTTCAAAAGATTTAGCTAAATCATCAATACATTTAGGTCTCCAGAAGTAATACCAGGAAAGTTTGCCTCATGGAACATCTGAATTGGCCTAGGGACATCATGGCCTTCAACAGTAATCTCACGCCGTGCACGATAAAGAGCAACATCCTCTTCAGTCATTGCCCTCACAGAGTGATGTTCAACATAAAAATTCTTCTCGAAGGGTACCAAGTTTCCAAAGTCTACCTTTGGAAGAGTAAGGTTGTCTAGATCATCTCGTGAGCTCCCATGCCTACCTCCTCCTCTCCCACCACTACTACCACGGCCTCCATCTGAACTAAACCTTCCACCTCCACGTCCACCACTGTAGCCTCCATCAAAATCCCTACCTCCTCTTCCACCACTCCTACTTCCAGTGTTGTTTGACCCTGCACCAAATCGCCCAGGCCGGTCTCCCATACCACCGTTAGCCACTCTGTCACCTCCAAAGCCACTGTCCCGGCCCATACCAGCCCCTCTTGAAAAACCACCTTCAAAAGGTGGATACCCATTGAACCCGCCATCAACAGGTCCAGATCCACCCATACCACTACTCCCTCTAGCACCAGCGTCCATAGGCGGTGCTTGTGGACCGCCATAAGGAACGGGCCCACCACGACCGTAGCTAGCCGCAGCTCCACCAGCCATAGGCCGAGAATATATATGAGGTGGACCCATTAGGTCACTGCAATCGGAGAAACACAAGCAAATAGTGAATACCCAATCACAAGATTCAAACTTTATAGCCAACAGAGTAATCTATGCTTGTATAGTTTATGCAGAAACATAATACTCCTACGCATAAATCACGAAGTGTATGTGACAACATAATAATAACAAGAATCTTGAAATAAACATGTACCTGCGACGCTGGCGATAGGAGCCTGAGTCACCATATCTGGAGTCGTAATTAGAGTAGCTCATGGTCGCAAAAGAGAATTAGGGTTTTACAGATTTGAAAGATGAACGGGAGGCAAAGAAACTAGATTTTCCTCTTTAATCGTCTTTCCCTCCTCTCTGTTTTGTGTTAACCTATTTCTGCCTCACAAATGTAATACCAGTCGCGTAGGAGATATTTTCTCAATTCTTATTAAAATCGGTGATAGTTTTATTCTACTCAAGTACACTTTTTTTCTTTTTTATTGTAGTTTTTTCTTGAGATTCCTGAGTTCCTTCTCGTGTTGTACGTATTATGTCCAGGAAGCATATGAAAACGAAAAAAGATACAGGGTTTAGTTAATTTTTAGCAAATACTTCAGAAATTAAAAACCAATTGAAAATTAATAATTTTACTGCTTTTTCTAAGAATAAGAACATTTTATTTTTCAGAAACCATTGTGTTTAATTGAATGTTTTCAAAAAAATATAAAATTATAAACTTTAGTAGAAAAACTTTAAGACGATAGTGCAGCCCTTTACTTCTCAGATCCGTCACTTAAACCTGCAAATTGTTAATTCTACGGTTCTACCTTGAACCGGTATTCTTAAAGTAGGAGTAACATATATTCGAATGGTAGTAAGTTAACACAAAATAAGTCTAAAGCATTGTTAAAAAGTAAAATTACGTTTATGTTATAAAACAATAAATTAAGAAGAAGAGTGTTGGAGATAAAAGTAGATAGAAAATTCTATTGATTTTGGGATGAATTACAATGGAATATAACCTCTTTATTGAAAAGTGACTTAGCCACAAAGTAACAAATTCTAAAATTTCTCGCAAAGATAGATATTCATATTAAATACAATTCTATTTACAACACTCCCCCTTGAATGTCTATTCAACAGATAATGTGTCTCGTTAAAATCTTAACTAAAATAAAACCCAGTGAGAAAAAATTTTAGTGAAGGAAAAAGAGTACACATATCTAACAATACGCCTTTTGGTTGATTCGTTAAAAACCTTGCAAAGAAAACACAGTGGAACAAAACCTTGTAAGGGAAAAAGAGTACGACGCGTATTAACTCCCCCTGATGAGACAATAATTCACATCTTTAAGCCTTCGCATTCCAATCTTCTGCACCATCTTCAAAAAATCGTTGGTAGAGATCTGATAAACAAATCAATCATATAAACTTGAACTAATTTGTTTCACCTTGAAATCATCATTCTTGTCTTCATAAAATGCTGGCCTTTTCAATATCTCCATAGAGATTTTCGCTATCATATTGTCATGCTTATAGTTATAGCAAGATATATATGTGCACAAATTGTTGTGGCACTTCGGGACCAAAAATTGTATATGCTTTAAGCGATTTAAATCCTTTAGCGATTGTCATAGAAGTTAAGTCATATAAGCCATATGAATAGACTTTAGATGCATATCAAGTTTTCATGTCATGCTAGACATATAAGAAAGAAAAAAGTGATTGCACCCACCATTGACTTTTTATTTTCGAGTGTTTGAACTACATGTCAAAAACTTTATGTCTTTCATGTGGAATCAATTCTACTTGAATTATTTATCCAAATTTAAAATCTTCATCTATATTTAGCGTTATCATTTTATACTTTCAACGAATATTTTATATCGGTTCCAACCTCCATTTTTTTTAAAAAAAAGCATAACATAGAGATCTCTTCGTTCTTATTTTCAGGTACACGAACCTCTCCTGAGATTTAATGAAGTGTTACGTTATGTGATCTTCTAGATCACGTGCCTCCTTATTATGATCATTTACTCGTCTTCCTTATCGAGAATTTTATTTGAAACCGATTTGTCTATACACTTTAAGTGTACCAGAGACTTTATCCTTCTAGGACTTATTCTAATAGGAGCATTTGTAGTGAGAATATAGTTACTTTTTTTGGGTCAGCAAATGTATCTGGCATGCTTTGCAATATATTACAGATGAATTATCTTTTTATGAACTTGATCTCACCCAAACTCACACCACAAATAGGTAGTGAGGCGGCCGAAGCAATAATAAACCCAACACGAGTCGGGATCGAATCCACAGGGAGTTAGAATTTGGATTAGGTATATAACTAGAGGTAATATATGATGTGCCTTAGATTGGACTTCCACATATTCATTGGTTGTTTTATATTTCTACTTTTAGCTAAGGATCGCAAATAATACTAGAAGACAGTGTTTTTGGTTTTGAGTGATTTTCAAATGATAAAGGAATCTAGGGTCGTGACTTTCACCTGGGTGGCTACCTATCAGGTTGTAGACTATAGGTCAAGTTTGATTTATCGGGTTCATGGTATAGCAAACACACGCAATTACTCACTCTATACCTCTCGGTAGTTTGAGTGATTTTGCCCGATTTGGCTTTCTCAAACCCAAATGGGTATTTGCACTAATCAAGTGATATATGCTCAAGTTGGGTCTTACTATCTCTAGATTTGACCCTTTAATTAGGGCTATCAATTTCTTGATTTCATCCTAATTCCTTGCTAGCCAAGTTTTTCTATACCTAGCCTCTCTTTCTCAAGTAAAGACTAGGTCCAAAAAAAGCATGAACCAATGTTTGCAACCATTAATTTTAGAATTTAAGCATAAACAAGGCTACATATCACTAACCTAATCACAAACAAGCTCTAAAATTAAATATTCATCAAGTATCTACACTAGGGTTACGCCACAACTCTAGCTAAAGATTTAGCTACTCATGAAATATAAAGAAATACGAGAAGAAATTAAGGTAGAATGCATAATCATAGATTAAGCAATAAGTCAATCTAATACAAATTTACTCAAAGAAGTAAGAAAAACGTTCAGGTGCACCTCTGCAGACTAAACTTAACCTAAAAATGACAAAAAGTTATATTTATACTAAGCTAAAAATATCTAACAAAACTGCCCTATGGAGGTTATGCGGAGCGCAAAATATGCTTCTGCGGCCGCACAATTCTAGTGCAGTTTGCAGTCTTGGAAAATTGGGCTTGAACTCTTCAGGCTTCTGCGGTCTGCATAAAAGTAGGTGCGGCCGCACAAAAGTGATACGGTCTGCACTCCTTTACTTTCCAGCTCTCTGAACCTTCAGTTCTGCAGTCCACATAAAAGTGGATGCGGCCGTACAATACCAGTGCAGTCCGCATTCCCCGAGCTGGTCAAAACATACTCTCTGAATCTTCTTCTGCGGTCACACTAGAATTGTGCGGTCCACACTGCTATCTCATTTGCCGTTTTTTTATTCTTGTTCACTTTAGACTCCTTTATGAGTTGATTTTTGACTTCTTTGGCTCGTTTCCCAATATTCCTGCAAGTAAGCACATTTTATTAGTTTTCGGGAATACCTTTAAGCATTTTTTAGCTAAAACGCAAGTAAAAGAGAGTAAATAAGCGGTCAAAATCCCTACTTATCAAGTCTCCCAAACTTAAGCTTTTGTTTGTCCTTAAACAAATAAGGCAATTTACACCTCCCCTAGAACAAGGGATATTTCAGCTGGCCTAAGGTGAATCAGACACACATCAATTGGGACCAACAATTACCCACAATACATATTAATTATCAACAACACAATGATTTGACTTTTTGAGTAAACAGTTCTAGTGTGACACTAAAACATCAAGAATTGACTCTATTCATCAAGGAATCTCACTCTTTCACGTAGGTCATTGTGGATCCCAAACTCCTCCTCATCTAATCTCCATTAGCAAATCTTACTTTAGAATGTACACTCAAAACAAGGATTGTGAAAAGTTTGCTTATTTCTCTCAAAAGAACGTCTCAAAACTAGCTTTAAGTACCATACGCTTGCCCCTTATGTAAATCACCACTATTGTAAGCTCACCCAGCTTGAAATCATGTATAGCTTTTACGGGATGTAATGAAGGCTTTTGGATCAAGGTAGGACTTGTTGGAATAGAATGGTTTCATCTTTCTTTAAGCACTCCATTTTCTCTTTTCGGCTCATACTTTCTCGACTTTGTGAGTCATTTCATTCTTCCTCGGGGGAACTAGAGAGACGTAATGTCATTCTTTCTTGAACATGACATTCATTTTTCTCCTTTTTCTATTTACTTCAATCTTTCTTCCTTACTTTCTTTTAGATTTCCTTCAACTCTTCACTTTCTTTTTGTTCTTTCTTTCTTTTCTTTGCCTTCCCTTTTCTTCATTTGTTTATCTTTTTTGTACCGTTCATCACTTTCAAACTCCTCTTCTCTCCCCCAAACTTATATTTTTGCCAATTATTTCTCAAAAATGCTAACGAAAGATCGGGTGCCAAGAGAGGGTCATTGTAAAATGGATGAAGGCTTGTGTAACATGGTTATTGAAAGAAAAATGGCTTCGGCTCAAAGGGGTTGACTAGGGATATCACATTGGTGGGCCATGGAAGATTTTAAATTTCAAATCGGATCAAGGAGAGCCTACAATCATTTCTCAAGACAAGTTACACTTATAATTTCGCCTAGACAAACATTCGGGGAAGTTCTAGACCATTAGCACGGATACTTGGACTTGCAACTAAACATCTTACCTCTCACACTTCTGGATTGCTAAAGAGAACATAGTCGAGGTCCCACAACAACCCTAACTAAGATTGAGAATCAAAAATGGCTCGAATTGAACCACTCGATGACTGCTTAAGTCAACACAAGAGTCAAAAGAGTCACAACTAGAGCTATTTTCTGCCAATGACTTGTTTTTTTCCATACAATCATAGGTAAATATGTTGGTACCAAGTGAAGCATGCTTGAGACCCCTTTTATTCATTACTACTATATATACCAAAATATAAAAGAAAATGGACTCAATCCCTTAAGAAGGTTGTCTCACCATCCATCGTTGGGAAGAGCCACCCGGTTCACACATAATCCACTTTTGGAAAGAACTGTGGCATTAAGAAAACCAAAGGCTTATTGTTCAGTCAAAATGTAAAAAGAAGCTACTAAAATAAATAAGAAGTTATACTACTAAAGAAAAACAACTAAAGAAGTTATGAAATAAACTATAAAAAGCGAGATAAAGGAATATACAAACCGAAGTCAAATGAATATATACATAAGGGGNATATATATATACCAAATGAAAATAAAGATGAAAAGAAAATAGTATCAGAGTTATTACAGCCCAAATGTCAAATAGTCAGAATAGACCACCCCCGAAATGAAAAATAAGCATTGTCCCCAACGCTTAACAAAAATAAGAACAGGGAAAGGTTAGAAAGTTAAGAGAACTCCCTATGTGGTCTCAGTCTGCATGGGATCCTCAGCAACCTCAC